CCCCTGCTGTGTGTCCACTGCCAGGAGATGGAAGGTGACACATGCAGCTGACTGATGCTCTTGAGGAAAACCGTGTAAATGAACTGTGGTGTGAGGAGTCTTGGGGAAAGCTTGAGAACAAACAAATGTTATTTTCCTCTTCAGAGCGCAATTACAGTTGTGCCAGTGATTCTGCATGGGCCCTGCTAGAACCAAGAGTCCAGTTGTCCCTACCTAGAGGTTTGCCTCTGCTTACAAAGGCAGCAACATACGATCAAGTGGGACACTTAGTTTCATATGCAAGTGACCAGCATTTAATGAAATCAACAAAACAGAAAGTAAGCCTTTCCAAGAGAATGCAGGGTATCTACGTCCAATCTCTATTATCTTATTTTCTAATTATGTTTACATAGTGAGTGATATGATTTAAACAATTACAGAGAAAAGAAAAAAGTTCTTCAATAACAGAAATTATCACTACTAGCAATTTAAGATACAAAGTCCACAACACTTTTATTTTGTAGTATTCAATCTCCTGGGATGGATAAGTTTTAGAAATTCTTTCTATAAACTTTATGCAAAGTCATGCCCTGAGCAGATTCTTAATCAATCTGAATTGACCCAATGGACTCCATTTCGCTCATGATATTTCTGGTCCCAAGTGTTGGCTCTGAGATGTTTTCTAAAAGCCTGAGCCACTCTGCTAAAAACCACCCACTGCAGCACTAGTTGTTTTCTGGCCTAGTTCTCTTTGTCTACCCATCCCAACTCAGTTACAAGTCAGATGCTGGCACAGGGTGCACACTTCCTTGTTTATTACTCTGGTTAAAGGGCCCTGCCCTCACTGTAGGGACTGAGGACACCTTTGTCATGATGCAGAAGCATTGCAGACTGTATTTTATCTCCCCCAATGCTGTCCGGCTGTCTTGGCATTGGCAAAGCTGAGTCGTTCATTACCGGTGCCTCTAATCACAGTTTTAAATATGTGGCACCAGTGGCCCTGGAGTCTCAGCAGAAGGGAATTGGCAGGAAAACAGTCTCTCACTGTGCCCCCAGGTAGCCTGTCTACACCTGTCATTACCTGGCATCCAAATGCCTGTAAAATAATCTTTCCAATTTGTATTTGGGCCAAATGCCAGCACAACAGATGGACAGGAGTGTGCAAAACCAAGATTATGCATATACATTCAGTGTACAGACGGTGAGCATAACTCTTTGCTAGGAACATCCAAACATCTGTGTACTTTGAGCTTTGTGTGTACTGTTTACATCGTCTCCTGTCACAGTGGGTGGGCTTTGCCAGAGAGGCATGAAGGAAGACTCGTGAATTTCATGGAAATTCTCATAGTGTAAATTTACTTCACCCTGGGTAAAAGGAGCATACAGAGAACATTATGAATAACTTTGTTGTTGTGTCACATAATCTCAAAAGTTTATTTTAGTAGCACAATAGCAAAAAATCTTTGGAGATTACAGAAAAAATAAAATTAAGATTTGGGACACTTTCTACCAGGGTGCTCTGGTATTTGGCACTCCTGTCTCTGATACCTAACACAGACATGCAGACAGTAGATTGTTGCAAAGCTGCTCTAAGTCCAACTCAAGACACGCTTTGTGTCTGTCCACCTCCATTAGTCTTTAATATTTTTTGTTAAGTAAAGTGTTGGAAAATAGTTGGGCAACTTACACTTTTTTTCTTAGAAGTATTGATTATTTATTTTGATAATCAGTGTAATAATGCTCAGCGTATCTAACAACCACCTTTAGTAGAAGAATGCAATTAGAGCAACTTAATCAGTTCAAGGTGTGCTGCGTGGAATATGACCCACCAGCATTAGCATGGGGAGTTTACCAAAGCCCTCAGCTTTTTGATCATGGGAAATTGATTTTGTCACTACTCCCTCTGTTAATTGAGCACCTTTAAAAAGCAGATGCCAAAATGCGTATAGAGGAAAATGTTCTTGAGACAAGCCTGAGGGAGCAAAAGAAGACCAGAGAGCCTCCCACTACAGTATCTGAACCGAACGCAAAGCGGGGGGACCCTCAGGACTACCTTGATGCGGTAAAGTTAAAAGCTGATTTAGCAGGTCCATAATGCAACCACGAAGCATCAAGTGGACCATGTTTCCATGAGTGGAGCTATTTTGGTATCCATGGAGCATTTATGGCAAACACTTTTGGTCATCAGCTAAGAGACATCCTTGGGTAGTGTGATCTTGGGAGCAATAAGATTTCAACTGAGTTTCTTGCTCAGTTGAACCTGCACTACAGATCTCCACTATTTTGAACACCATAGCTCAGAAGATAAACCACCTCTTAAAACAGAGTGTCTCCCACCAACCTCACAAGGAATCTGATTATTAACTAGTGGTTTTGCTTACATGAAAGAATAACAGCATTCCGTGTCTAATAATTGTGTGAGTAAGATGGCAGAAACTCTCCATGGTGACAGATTGCTGTCTAGGAGGTGAATTCCAGTTCAGTTGTGTTGGAAAGCATGAAACAAAGAGATTTAATGGACAATTCAAACTGTTATGATCCTACGCTATGGTATTCACATATATTAACTTACCACAAAGACTGCACCTGCTCCAACAAATACAGGTACTATATATGCCCCAGAATACTCCTACCATACAGGGCTGGGGACAGACTGGTCGTTTGTGCATCTGAAGTGTGTCTCCTGTTGCATACAGACTCCTTTGTGTTTCCTTCTGTGTTTGGGAGATGTTTCTCAAAACAAAGTACTACAATATATGAAGGCTTAGAGCATCCATTTATTACTGATTTCCCCTGCTTCTGGAGATTACTAGGTGATTTTTCTCTCCCGAGTATCTTGACTGGGACTAGATAGACTAGAATGTCCTCACTTCCAGGCATGGGACTCAGATGTAGAGGTGGGGAGGGCAAGGGTGACTAGAATCTCTCTCACATGGTCTCTTGGACCCAGGAAGCTAGCTTGGACTTCTTCTCCTGAAGATATAAGGGTTTCCAGTGATAAGAAAGGGCAGATACCTACACACATGTGCTCTTCCAGGCTGTGCTGTTGTCACTTTTTTCTTGTAATTATCTTGTACACCAAGGCAGATCTTATGACCAATCCCAGAGTTGTGTGGTGGGAGCTGTGTGGATACAGGGAGCCCTAACCAAACAGAACCATTGTATCACCCATCTGCTTAGTGTATGCTCTTTCTCTTCCTCCTCTCTTTTCTCCTCTTCTGCATTTTATTTTTCTTTTTCATCTGTTTTATGAATATATAATAAAGAGGACCACATCTCTATGCGAATACTTTCTGATTCAGGTATAAAATATTTGTACATTAAGCTACATTTTTATTTGTAATGAATGTATATGCAATTTGTTAAACTTTTTCTCAGCTTCAGCATTGTCAACAAAGTCAGTCTCTTTCTGTAATTCCTAAGGACTCTAAATGAGTATGTGTATTCCTCAGAGAGGAAGCTACAAATATTTCCTTTCTGGTCAGCAATATTATGTGGGATTTATGGGATTGATGTTTCTGTTGATGGCAGCTGGTCACTTCACTTGGTAGTAGCAATTCATTACTCTTCTGATCCTAATAAAATAATAGCCATGTTAATTCTTCAGTGTAGTTGAGGCTTGAATGTAAAAATTAGGAGGTAGAAATTGAATAATACATGACTTGATAGAACTCTAATTTTCTACTGTACAGCTCTTTTATCAGCTGTGTTGAGCCTATCATCACTATAATAGGTGCTGAGGAGAATAAACATGAAAGCAACATGTTAAAAAGAAGAAAATGAATGCTTTGCCGTGATGCTCCATTGTGCTTATAATCAAGGCCATTTCTGCAGCATGAGGTAAAGGTGCACATTAGAAGATCTTGCAGGCAGACCCGTCTCCACCAGTTTCCAGGCAAGAGTGTGTGTGCATAGTCTTCATTTTACTACTGTAACACACACATACAGTGTCTGTGGAACCAAATGTGCATTGCTCATTGTAGACAAAGTCAACACTCTTGACTTTTCATCCTACAGCATGGCCTCCAATATCAGTCGGTCGGCCCACCCCTACAACTATTTCTAGTCTCAATTCCTTGACCTCCCACCACCACGAGAAAGCCCACTAGACTGAGTTCAGTTAGAGGTGTGTTTAGAAAGGAATAATAGATCGGATTGGCCATTTAAAACAAATAGTAACTAAATTTTGTACTTTATACCAGGGACATCTGTGTGTGTGTGTGTGTGTGTGTGTGTGTGTGTGTGTGTGTGTGTTTCAAAGGACAAACAGATATGACTGGCACTTTTTCTTTAAAAAAACCTTCATCTGTAATGACTCAGATCCACTCTTTGGTATGTTAAAATGACTCACACAGTTCCATGTCGATGAAGTTTAAAGACAGCCTCTTTGATTTTGTTTGAATTACTGGTTGTTATTGAAAAATCTACCTTCTACTATGACTGTCCAGTTCCATAACCACAGTTCTAAAACAAATACAAAATCCTTGTTTTTATGAGTTGCATAATGGGTTGGTTGGTGGGATTCTACAGTTTCCCAGGTCTGTATTGGGCCATGGCATTTTCCTGTTTTGGTTTATGCATTAAAAGCTATTTGAAAATCATGAATTCATTCACCATCTACATATAATCATCCAAATGATGTTATTTGTTAATAATTCTCATGGCTGAGGTGCATTCCAACTTCTTATTTTATATTACTACCTTCTCTTTTTTGTGAACACCTTAAGCGATGACTCAGGAAATCTAATCTGATGTTCTGCAGGGTACTTTCTTGATGAAAGAAGCAATTTCAATCGCTGTATACATAGAAACATATATATTCTTTATATGTCTTTATATATCTTGTTTATATATACCTTCTTTGTATAAGCTTAGATTTTTGCATGAAAGATTTAAAAAAAACACAAAGGTTTATTTTCTTATTGTTTTGTGTTTTGTTTTGTTCTGTTCTTTTTTGAGCTCTAAGAACTTCATGTCCCTTTTAAACTCCTCAACTCTTCTGGTCATATTTTTTCTCCTAGGACTACAATGATGAAATTCGTCAGGAACAACTACGAGAATTATCTTACTTAAATGGCTCAGAGGACTCTGGTCGTGGCAGAGGGATCAGAGGCAGAGGGATCAGGATAGCTCCCACGGCTCCTTCAAGGTACATTGGTTCCCGTTTTAAACAAATTAGCAGCATGGGGCAGTGGCAGCCATCTGCTGTCCTGCTGTCTGTCAAGACCACCACTAGGAATCAGACATCAACCACAATCCCACCACCACAACTGAAACAGTAGCAGTGACTGTCATGCAGCAGTAAGGTGACGTATGTAAACTCAGCACATACTAGGAGTAGTCACCATTTATACGTGAGAAACTGAGGCATTGAAGGTGTATGCAATGTTACTTAAGCTCACCCAGGCAGTCTTGTTCCAGAATTCACAATTTGAGCTCTTAGCAACTACTCTTCAAAAGTAAGGATGCGAACCCGAGACCCTCTATAATCTTGTTTCATTTCCAGGATCAGAATAAATAGATGCACAAACATTTGCCTCTTTAACAGGATAACCTTGCACCCAGGGAAAACTTACATTTTATCTGTGCCTCACAAAGCCTTTGAATTGACTTAATCTTTGAAGGTAAAAAAGGAAGATAGACAGATATAAGTAATATATATGTCACCAACCCAGATCACTTCTTGCACTGCTGTTGGCAGAGGCATATGGAGTGCAGATACGTTTCATCCTTGGTGGTCAGAGAGAATCTGATTTGATTTTATAAAATAAAAATCACTTTGATTTTATTCACACTGGATCCTTTCTCTGTTAGAATTTGTTTTGTAGGATTCTAAATTTGTCAAGCTTTTAAAAGAAGGCATAGGTTTGCAAAAAGTTAGGACAAAAATAAACAACGTTCATAGCCTTCAGACAGACTGTGGATGCACTTGTTCTCTTCAGTCTATTACCATCAGCCTTTGCGTCTCTAAAGGACACAGATCTAGAGTAATATTTCATATATGGCATAGAAATTATCTCAAGATGCTAAGTTATTCTACAGATTTAATTTATATCTCAAATTATAGCCCAAATATTTTCAGCCACCACTGTCAAAATATCACTGATTTCAACAGTTAAATTATAAATACTTCAAAAAGTCCCACAGTTATCAGAAATGGGTTCAGAATAATTAATTTCCAAGTGAGATATCAAAGATGAAACTAACTTAGAAGTAAAGTGTGACAATTCTAAAAATTAGGTTAACTAAAGAGAAAACTTATGAAAATGTTCTAGAGCTTAATTTTTACATTTTTACTTCTGGAAATTTCTATACTTTTTGTATAGTATACTTCATGAGACCAGACCAGTTTTGTACAAATGTGTACGTTTCTAGATCTCCTGTGGGTGGACTGTGAATTGATGCCATTGCAAACCATCCTAAATGAGTTTAATCACATGAACTAACACATAGGAAGTGGCCACTTTTGTAGCTCAGAAATGCCAATTTTAGGAGCTGTCCATCATGTAGTTAAGGTGTCTCTTTAGGCTGCCTAAAGCAAACCCACATTTCTTCTATATTACTTGAAATTAGAATCATTTGAAAAGTATTCTGTTTATTTGTCTTGATATTGAAAATTATCATATGAATATATTTTGTTTCATAATTAATATTCCTTAATATAACACTATAATTATAATTTAGTGATCTATGTAAGATTTTAATTTTGGCTAAGCTTTTTTTTTTTTCTAAAATTTTAATTTGCTTAGTAATTTGTTACAGAACAATGCAGTATTTAGATATTTAAATATCATCTTAGATAAAAATTTGAAATCTTTTGTTTTTTAAAATCCCATATATTAGAAAACAGACAAAAAGAAAATTAATACTGAAAATAATGCCTCACTTTCAAGTCTGTATTGGCATTAACAATTACATTAGCATTAATGAAACTAAACAACATAGCTTTATTGTTTTCTAATTCAAACAACATAGTAAAAATGTATCTACAATTAGAAATGAATAAATACATAGCTTCATAAAAAGATAATCATATTGATCTGAAAGTTTTGGAAAATATGAGTTAATGCATGCTAATTTGTACATATTTATGAAATTGCTACTTTCTTAATTTATTCAGGCACATTTCATTCAAAATGATACCTAAAGTAGTTTCAAACTTCAATAATACTTTGAAAATATATTTAAAGGAATTTACATTCCAATGAACATATCTATGATAACTAATCTTCCATAATAATGCAAAGCAAAGAACAAAGCACTACTCTATAAATTATCATGATGCTTTATTTTACATAGTGAAGAATGAAACTACAAGACGTCTTTACACACATCATCACTGCAGATCTGAGGTGGAGAAAGCCAGGGACAGTGAAACATACGGGGCAGATTTTAAAAGCTTTTGTTTACTATAGTGAAAACAATAACATAGAGCTCATGAATGTTAAATGAAGAGAAATCATATTTGTTTCCAAAGCAAAGGGTCATGAGAATTCGAGTGACTGGGAGAGAGACAGAGGGATAAAGAAAAACTGGCTCAAGGCACAACAGCCAGTGGAAAGCAAGTCCGTGATCCAAGACTGACAGAAATGAACAGCCCTTAAGTGTAGAGATAGAGTCACAGTAGAGGTTAAAACTTACAGGAATTAATGTCAATTGGATGTTGGAAAAGAAGGGCAGCCCAAGACAAAAATGAGTCTCTGGTGTCTAGCCTGGCAAGCAACTGATATTATCAACTAAGATTAGGTGAAGGATCAAGTTAAATGAAGAATATAATTATCCCTATAATTGATCCAAGCTCTATGGATTGCTTTGCAACCTGGGGCAGGTGGCACATTCTCTTTGTGCTGTGTTTTATCATCATTTATAGTAGCTGAGAACTGCTACCTGACAGGCTTGTCAAGAAAGTTAAATTAAGTAGTGCATACAGGAAGATGGTTTCAGGTCAGCCAGTACTCTGGAACCAATGGAAGCTTTCTGATTCCAGAAACTCATTTAACTGACTGGTGGAATGGTCTAGAATTTGGAGTTTTTTAAAGATCCTCAGGTAACTCTCCTATACAGACAAGTTATAGAACTTTCTGATCCCATGAGCTTAAGGCAGGGCACAGCTTGTGGTTAGGGAGTAAACACCCATTGTTAGAATTAGAGACTGCAGGATTTATCCATGAGAGAAGGAAAGAAAATTGAGGACAGAAATTGGAAACACCCATACTCCAAAGGGATCCCATGAAGGGAAGTAGTGAAGGGAGGTGAGGAATGAGAAAGAGGGAGGAGGAGGCCTGTGGGAAGCATAAAAGTCCAAACAAACAGCTTCCAAATATGTCTACCTTTAATAAAGAAGCACTACGAGACCCTCAGAGGCACGAGCCCAGTGCGGGTGGAAGGAGGTAGTTGGAGACCCCAGTGATCCCAGTCTGCATGCAGTGTGAAAGCAAGAACCAGACTGAGTACAGTGGGTTCAGGGCTGAGCACAAGGCGAAGATTTAAGCACAGAAAATATTCTCAGAGGAAGTCAGAAAAATAAAGAAAGAAGTACTAAATCTATAGATTTAGCCCCAGACAATATTCTAAAATAGGTAGTGTGACTCTTGGACAGGAGGCAGCAACAGGGTGAATATTCCAGAGAAACGATGGCGTGTATAAGAGGTGATGAGCCAGACTCCGAAGGAAGGACTCCTGGGGCTGGGCTGGGTGTCAACTGGTGAAGGGATGAAATGAAAAATTGAATTTGATATGAGCGCCATGTAAATGTGTAGCAGAAAGAACTGTTACATGTTTAGAAATCTCGATTTTACTCATTATAAAAAATATACTTCACACCTAGGGAATTAAAACATTTACTAAATTATTCAGTTGTATAACTACATAGTTTAATTGACTTACATGTTACCAAACCTGGACACTTTTGAGAGAATTAAAATGCCTGACTGAGCAGGCAGCTAGGACAGAACTGCAAAACCTGGCTGCACATTCGTCTTGTTTTGAGGATAAAGAAAGGTGCTGGGAGGCCAGCGAAGGTAAAATTGGTATTTATATCCTTTCTGCAGATCTGCTTTGTGTTATGATGCTAATGTAGACTATTGTATTCTGAGCTGTTGTACCTGAAGCCAAAGCTGGATTTCTGGTTCTTTTGTATCCTTAGGTCTAGGAGACTGTTCCACATAAATTAGCTCACTATGTCCTCTGATAAGTTTTCTACTCCACAGCTCTGTAATCTATTTTAAAAATTTAAAAGCTTTACCAGCATTCTTACTCCTCACTTCTAAAAGTTCATTTTCTACAAGTAAGAAAGAGCCAGCTGGCTGCTATTCATAGCAGAAAGCATAACCTACATCCCATATGTGGGTGCAGCCAGCGTCGTTGTTGACATCCCAACGATCATCATTTTTCCCAAAGCTTTAGCGTTCCTGCTGAAAGCACTACTTTCTGGAGGCCAGCCTTTCAGACATCATAAAAAGTGAAATAACCATTCATTTGCCCAAAGATTTCAGACACTCAACCTTTCTATATATTCTCAGAATACCACAAAAGTCTGCAACAATTTGATCTCATGCTTTTAATGCAAGTTACTTTTGTGTCAAGAACTGCAATACAGAGTATTCATTCTGTTCCTTTTATTGTAGAATAGTAATATATTTCACTAGCACCATAGTAACCATATGAAAATACATTGTGTGTGTGATTGTATCAGCTCAGGGGATGGCATGCATGATGCTGAGTCAGTGGCAGTGGAATTCTGATTGCAAGTGGCCTCGGACATAGCTATGCTATTAAGCAGAATGATATCATGCTGAGAGTTACACATTTTATCAAAGTGCAAACCGATAGTTGTTTTGTAAATGACAACATAGCACATCACTATCAATAACCTGCTGCATGGAAGGACAGTCATGCGTAAACTCAGTTCCTAGAGAGTTCAGTGAGTTGTATGTCCAGAATGTGCTGATTTGGTTGGTCTTTGCAAATTGGAATAGAATCAAAGTGGTATATGTTTTCTGGCTTTTCTTTTACTTTGGCTTTGTGATTATACAATAGAAAACATCAATACTTTTCATGAGAATAAATCATAGTATTTATAGAATATATTTTAGTATGGAGATTAAACATTTTACATCTTAAATAATCTCTACTAAAAGCACACAGGCACAGACAGAGAGAAACATAAATTTGGCTTTCTTCCATTGTATAAAGGCTGTAAGATGGGAATTTTCATCTGTTATAGTTCTCTTGTTGCCTTTTCTCATCTTTATGCGACCTGTTTCCCCTAGGGGCCGCGGGGGTGCCATTCCTCCTCCCCCACCTCCGGGACGAGGTGTCCTCACCCCTCGAGGGACGACTGTGACCCGTGGAGCCTTGCCAGTGCCCCCCATCGCAAGAGGTGTCCCTACTCCTCGAGCTCGGGGGGCAGCAACAGTGCCAGGATACAGGGCACCCCCTCCTCCTGCCCGCGAGGCTTATGAAGAATATGTAAGTACCCTAGAGTAATTGGTTGCAAGCAAGAGGTAAATTGACTGGTTATGAAACTAAGCCTCAGAAACATTCATATGCCAGGAGTAGAGGAGGTAATGCTCGTTGCAGAAAACAAATGTCATTTGCAGCAGAATTTAAGCAGTGCATTTACACGAGAGCATTTTGAGGAAAGCTTTCACTGCAGGTGCCATTGTCATTATTTATGCCATGTAGATAGCTTGCTTGTTCGTGTCAACCTGTTCTGAGGTTTTCTTATACTTAGAAAGGTTTACATCAGAAATGATTATAAATATAATGAATTTTTTTATATATTCAGAGAATTCTCCTGAGACATGACAAAGATTAGCGTAAGTTTCAGAAATATATGACAAATACAAACTTTGGTAATGATGTAAGACCAGATGATTAGTCTATCATTTACATACCATGATTATTTCTTTCATTATTTGAAAGATACAGGATAAGCGTACAGAATAGAAATGTCTAGAATAAGTAGAAGAAACGTAGTATCTCTAAGTATCCCCCTTTCCTATCCAGGGACATATTAGTTCATATTATATAGCCAAACACCCTTCGACTCTTCCTTTAGGTGGTCAGTATTCTGCTAGGGATGGACAGTGTATTCTAGCCCTTGTGTCCATTGCTTCTACCAGACTTTGAAACTTGAAAAAGATCATGTAATCTTAGGAAGTCTACTATAGTGTTAAATCAAGTTGATGTAAGCCATATCATCATCCTATCAGAGACTTATTCTGCTTTTATCCACTCCAGTTTCCCATTTCCTGGTCTGAGTGTTGTTTCAATCAACCACTGACAGCACTTTCTCCCTAAATGTGTTCTGTGAATAATTATTCCATAAATACAAGCTCCTCAAGGACAGGTACTGTCATGCTGGACATGCAAAACATAAATGTTTTATGGACTGGCTAATAACCAATCAAAACTTAATCTTAATAAAAAGTGAACATGGTTGATAGGTGCCACTAAGAGTATACTAATGCCTGGTGGATGTTAGTTTTTAGAGACCTTGTTATTGCTTGAACATGAACCATTTACTACAATCTGCAAGAGTGAAGAAAAATTAATCAGAGAGCTCCACTGCTACTGGAACACATGAAATGTGTCCATTTAGTATCTTTTGTGCATCAGGCATCAATATTAAAGCTGTAGACAATATTACAATTGCAAAATTAGAAGTAGAAAATTTATTCAGTTCTGTAAATAAGTGGGACTTGCTCTGATTCTATCGTCTCGTCTGAGACATAATATTTGTAAAATAAATATATGTTAAATGAATTAATTAAAGTTCCACAAAGGAAAGTGAGCTTATTTATAATTTTTGAGGAATCTTTTGAATCCATAGACTTTATGGGAATTACCTCTTAAATACAGGCTTAAAGAGAAAGTGAGCTTATTTATAATTTTAAATTATAATTAAAATTTTAAATTTAAATTTTTCACTTAAAGTAAGCTTATTTATAATTTTTGAGGAATCTTTTGAATCCATAGACTTTATGGGAATTTCCTCCAAATACAGGCTTAAAGAGAACATATGTATAACAATTAAAAATGAGTGAAAAATTTTTTGGGTAACAGAAATCAACATTGTTATTACTCAAATAATTTATATGGCATATATGGAAATTTGAAAGACAGTGGAATTGACAATACAGAATTGTAGTCTTTCATGTACAATTCAATTTATAGTGAACAAATTACTGGAATACAACATAAATAAGAGTAAAGCACAAAAGCACAAAGATGTTACATCAGCATGGGCAAAAGGGTTATATTCTTAAAGAAGAAGTCTAGCAAAGGGGATTTTTTTTTTAGAAAAAGAAAATGTTACAATTAGTTCTGATCTTTTTCAATTTCCCATTTTAAAGTACTTAGTCTTTCTTACTCAGTGACTCATTCATATGGAACCTCTGTCTTATTGTAGGCTCTGTTTTGAGGTCCTGGAGATACTTTGTAGATATCAGATCAAATATGAACTTTCATAGGCTTACATTTTGGAGGTGGGGGGAGACAGGAAGCAAACATATATAGATAAAGAAAGCTGCCGGTGGTGAGAGGCACTGTGAACTGAGATGCAGGAAGTGTGGTACCTCACGTTGAGCAGATAGGGAAACTGTGTGAGGTGGAGAGCTTTCGGTGCAATAAATGTCTAAATGAAGCAGAGTCCGGGCTAAAGAGCTGCCTCTGTAAACAGCATGCCTGGTAGAGAAAACAACAATTAGAAATTCCTAAAGTAGAAATGCTTCACATTTTGGTGGGGGTTAGCATGCAGGAGATCAAAGGTGGAAGAAAAGGAGTGCAGAGAGGTGGACAATGTGTTGATTACTTTTCTCTCACTGCTGGGACAAAATACCTAACACCCAAAGTTAAGGAAGCAAAGGTTTATTTTGCTCACAGTTTGTAGAGGCTTCAGTCTGTAATCAGCTGGCTCCAAGGCAGGGTGGCACAGCACAGAGGCAACACTTCAAGGTGGCAGAAAACAGCAAAAGCAACAAAAGTGAAAAGGGAGGAGAGCAAGCTTTTTTCCTCCCTTATATTGTATTCAGGCTACCTGCCCTCAGGTGGGTGTAGCACTCACACCATCTCTGTGCCCTCCTTGTGCACAGGCTCAGGGTGTTTACAAAGTGTGGACCTTGGCCCCCTGCTGAGTCACTTAGTTAAACTTCTAAACTTCCCAAATTGACGCAATGGACAACATCCTAGAGTGGCAAGAGCATTCCCTGTACACCCCAGGATGTAGAATTGTGGGGTTGCTTAGTTGAGTTCTAAACTCCTCAAGTTGCACAATGTATTAACCATTACAATCCACCCCTTGTCAACCAGACACATTTTTTATATCAGTTTCCAGGTACAAAGACACATTTACCCATATCATTTTACAACTTAAACATTATAACCTAGGTTTAACAATCATTAACCGCCAGTATTAAGTCTATCAACATTATATTACATTAGAACCATAACATTTCCTTCTTGGCCCTACAAAGGTTTATTTACAACGCTTTATGCAAAAGACATTCAGTCCATCTGCAAGAGTTGCCAAAGTCTTAAGAGTTTCAACATTGCTGAAAAGTCCATCTCCTCCAAGATGTAAGGCAAACTCCACTTACAAGCCCCTGTACAAATGAAAAGTTAAACACTTCCAACACTCAACAGCACAAAATTAACATTTTCATTCCAAAAGTTGCAAACAGGGGCATACAAAGGATTAGAACCAAAGCAATTCCAAAATCCAGCAGGGCTAACACTTAGTCCTGTAGTTCCATGTCCAGTATGTGCAGCAATCTGTGGCAAATTGTGAGCTCCAAGGGGCCTGAGTGACTTGGTCCTTATGACACTTCTGGTGGATACAGCTCCCACAGCTTCTCTTTTAGGCCTACTTTTCTCCCTCCTTGTAAGTGTCCTTAGATGATCCATGTTCCTGGCTTCTCCATACTTCTGGGGTCTCCACTGCACCTTTACCTTCACCCTAGCAGCTTCACACACTGCCCTCTCAGGGACACACTGCCTGCCCTCCCAGGCCTTCTACAATTGGTCTAGAAGCCTTTTTAACCCAACCACTCTTGCATTATGCATACAACTAAAACCAGAATCATGTAAACGATACCAAGGTCTGCTACCAGCTGGAGCAGTAGCCAGGCTTTCTTTTCTCTTGGCTGTAGGGATTGAGTGCTTGTATCACTGGGCACTCTGAATCCAATTCTGAGGAACAAATTCTCTAGGGCACCACCATTCTGGAACATGGTACTGCTTGGATTTCTGGTCAGGGCAAAATCTTTCACTTTTGCAGTTTTGAAGCTGCAGAGGGTGGAGACTTGCTGCTTCCTGTGGTGCCATAAAGCCATCTTCTCTATTCTCTTGTTCCTTCTCAGCAATCAGATTTCCTCAGCTGTATCTTTGCAGTCCACAGCTATATTGGAGCTTCCTTTCTGGCCAAACTCACAATGTTTTAAATCATCCTGTTGGGCTCTTTGCTCTTGATTTGCAACATAAATCTGGCTAAAAGCCCCCAAGAATAGCCATGCCGCAGCCTCAACATTCGACTGCCTTGAAATTTCTTCTGCCAGATTATTCCATCACCCATAGTCTCAGGCAAAGTCTGTTGACACAAGAAAAACGCAAACAAACTTTCTGCCACACTATAACATACATCACCCAGATCCAACAGCCAGTGCAGTCCTTCCCAGCAGAAACCTCCCAAGCCTGGTCTTTACCAGTTTTCTGGTCTTTTGAACTCTGACCACAATGTTCCATACAGAATAGACTAAGGCATTTCAGCTCTACACTTTCAGGCGACACCTCTGAACATTTCTAATCTCTTCCCACAAGCCATTCCCAAAGGCTTTTGAATGACATGGTCAGGTATAGTCACAGCAATGACCCCACTGTTGGAACCAAATTCTGTAGAGGTTACTTTTCTCTCATTGCTGGGACAAAACACCTGACACCCAAAGTTTTTATTTAGCTTACAGTTTGTGAAGGTTTCAGTCTGTAAACAGCTAGCTCCAAGGCATGGAAGCATGGCACAAGGGCAGCAGTTCAAGGCCTCAAAAGACAGCAAAAGCAACAAGAACAAAAATGTGAGGAGCAAGCCTCTTTTCCTCCCTTACGTGGTATGTAGGCTACCCACGTACAATATAAGGGAACACTCACACCATCTCTGTGCCCTCCCCTTGCACAGGCTCAGGGTGTTTACAAAGTGAGGACCTTGGCCCCCTGCTGAATCACTTAGCTAAACTTCTAATCTCAAATTGACACAATGAACAACATCCTAGTGCAGTAAGGGCACGTCCTCTACACCCCAAGATGTAGAACTGCTGAATTACTTAGTTAAGCTTCTAAACTTCTCAAGTTGACACAATGTATCAACCATTACAGTCAGTAAATTCCAAAGGTGGGTGGGCCAAATTGCATTGCTTAGTGCAGGATTTTGAACAGAAAAATGACATGGTCATGTTCATACTTTGGAAGTTTTCCTTTGTCTGCATCATGGAGAACAGACTATGAAGTTGGAGGTGAGTGCACAGTGGAACAGAGATATTGTAACTAATTGCAGTGACCCCACTGGCCAAGTAATAGCACAACATGGCCAAGAAGTGACCAGATTCTAAGTGCCCTGCAGGAACAATCTGTCAGGATTTGGTGATGGGTTATGTTATGGTTTGTGTCTAGATGTTTCCCCAAGGCCTCATGCAGTCACAGGTGTGGTTTTTCAGAGGTATCTGGATCTCGGACGTGTGGTGCTGGAATCAAGGGTGTATGATTACTAAGTCAGTCCATTGATTGGCTTTTCATGGTGCTAGTTAGAACAGTGTGAGTGCTACATTGCCCTAGGGCGGGTATCCTGCATAAAATGTAAGGCACAGAAAGAGGGCTAATATGCTCTCGCCTGCCTTCATGCCTTGGACTATTTAATCATCTCTAACTACAGGGAGGAAGTATTTGGACATTAGGTCCAACACCTAGCACTCTGCGATCAGCTATTTTTTTTTTTTGGTTTTTCTCCGGTACCGGGAACCGAACTCACGACCTTGCGCTTGCGAGGCAGGCGCTTTTGCCGCTGAGCTAAATCCCCAGCCCCGATCAGCTATTAATGACAAGGAGAGGGAGGGAATTCACACAATATAAAAGTAGTTATTAATGCCCAACTCCAAGGATAATAAGGGAAGACACTACTTTCTAGAAAGGAGAAAATAGTATGAAGTTGGCACATATCCCCAACTCTCTCTAAAATAACACATAGTTAGGAACAAAAAAAGTGTATATATATTTTGCAGAACTCATATTTTATTAAGACCTGTCACCTATCATATTTTAATTATTCTTTTCTAAAATGCAATTCAAAGAGTGCATACAAAGTTTAACACTCTGGCAGCAACCTTTAAAATGTTCACTACCAAATTCAGACTACACTCAAAAGCTCCTACTTTCTCCTGTAATTTTAGACTATTGATTCCTCTGTATGGGGTAAGAGAAACAAAAGTTAAAGTGTCTCAATAACGAAATAATAGCACCATGCTGTGTTGGTGAAAATCTCAAAGGAGTTTTTAACTCTCAGATAAAATTTCTCAGAAAAGGTTCCCTTTATTATAAATCACACCGTGAGTCAATTCACTCATCAGACTTCGTTCTCGCCTGCTGAGTCCCTGCATTAAGTTTCTGACCACACAGAATGTACATAAGTAATCAAGTCTACTCCTTGCAGCTGGCCTGACAAGAAACAGCACACAGTAATTGACATTGCTGTTTTAAAACTATTGTTAGTGTTGGTTGAGTCTGAAAAAAAGATGTGAATTTAGTTTGTTGTTACATATTCTAACTGCACTTTAAATATTTTAAAGCTTCCTTTCACTGACCTTCTGCTAAGAAGAATACATTTACATGCTGTAGATCCATCATCATGATTGAAGTAGATTGAAAGTATTGGAAAGTAGACTTCAGCAAAAACTCCCACAGAACAAAATATTAAGTTTATCAGATCTACCAGTGTATAATACATTAAAAGAGAATATAGTAAAACTTTTGAATACCTGCCAGGTTCCAGTCACTGCCTAATAATTCAGTTAATCCCATGAGGATACTATCAACTCCTTACTGACTGTACTGTTTTAATAGATTGGAAAACTGAACTTGGAGTTGAGTGCATACCCATCTTTCTGTCTCCACAGCCTCTGTGTCTTGGTATCTTGGGCTCATTGTGCTTTGCTCAGGAAAGGACCATAATCTCCTACATAGTATCATGTGTATACAGGTCACTTTTACTTCCTACTTACCTACAGACAAGTCATCAGTGTTGGAGTCTTTCTGTTAATATTTAGAACATCTTCCAGCCCCTTTATGAAAACCTGCAACCCCAGAGAATTCAGTACCTGCAGTAACTACTTGCTAGAGGTATGGTTATCGGCTGTAGTTAGGACAGTGTTTTAGAAGCCCGCCACCTAGTGGAAGATAGAGTTAGTCCAGTAAGGGTACACAATTTGCTACAAAGAGCTTGACTCCTTTGTTAGAAGTCATTTTTGCTCTTATCTTCTCCCATTCATAACACTTCATACATAAATAGGAGAAAGGGAGAAAGTCTTTCTTAAACTTCCTTGCAATTCTAAATTAAGGGCTTGGTGATTGCAGTTGGATGGAACCACTTACAGTATTTTTGGAAATATACATAGATACACTAGCATGAACATTCTATGTAAATATTAAATGAATTGCAATCAACATAGCATATATTGGTTCACAAAGAGACTGTGTGTGCTTCAGTGCAGGGAGTTATCACCAATGGTTTAGAAAACCTCTAAGAGAATAAAGAGAACAAGCACAGAAGACTGGATAATTGGCATAACTTCAAGAAGGAAAAAAAAAGAGAAAGTGTATCGTGCAGAGGGATTTGATGTGAGGCAAAGACAAGGAAAGGGGTCTTTGAAAGCCAGTCTTAAATGTCTAGGAAAATAATTCAGTGAAACAGAAAAGCCATTTAAGGGAACAGTGGAAATAATGCAGGAGAAGAAAATAATATGGGGTTACAAATGATCTCAAAAGCTGGTAACTTCGATTTTTATAACAAAAACACACCTGAAGGTTTCTGAGCAAAACACAAGCTGAGGTTTGGGGAAATGACATAATTCTCAATGGTTTAGGGTGTGTTGGAGAAGCGAATGGAGAATTGGAAAAGGATGGAAGACATTAACAGTAGTGAGACTCCTGAGAGGTGGGCATCGCTAGGAGGACAGTCATGGCACAGATGTCGCAAGGCCAAAAGCAAAGTGATGGACGACAGCAGTACGGCTGCATGATGAGTGCATGCAGGACAAGGACGCACATTGGGGCTCACTCAGAGTGTGTTAATAGTGCCAGGCATGGGGAGGGGAGGCATGAGTGTGGCTACTTGTGAGACCATACCAAGTAGAGTTGGTGGTGATATTCATTTAGTTCCGGTTGATGTCATTTTTGTGGCTTAAGTATCACTATTGTTCTGTTATAGAAATAAACCCAGGAATACGCAGAGCCCCTCCCTGCCACCATGACACAGGTATTCCCTGACAGAGGGTGATGTGATTGGTAACCGTGGCACTGATTCAGCCAGGATGTGGTCACGGGAAGAGAAATGATGTTTGCATTGTATGGGTGGAAACTGTTCTATGGAAAGTGTAGTCACCTAGCTCAGCTCAGAAAGAGGCTGGTGAACAGTTTCCCAAGTCTGGCAAGAATGGTAGCAGCCTATAGCATAACCAGTGACAAGTTGTGAATTAGAAATTTCCAAAACTATCAGCTACAACAAATATTTTGTCTATGAATGAAGCTAGAGAAAACCCCCCTGAATTTTCTTTCTTCTCTATAGGAAATATTTTTAAACCATTGACAAATTTGAAAGTGGTCAAAAATTTTGTTTCCAAAAAGTAGGGTAAAAGCATAGATGTCTTTTAACTAACAAAGCACAAATATATTTTCTTATGGATTTAATGATACTTGTTGCATTTCATCTTTTAAAAATTTACAAGTGGTTATGATTACTTTTCTCATTCAAATAATTATATGCATTTATGGCAACTTTCTATTCATAATTTTATAGTCTTTCTTTAAGAGAAAATCCAAAATTCTATAATTTTCAGGACTCACAGTACCTTGACCTGCCTCTATCAAGAAAAATAAAGGAAAGATTTATAAGAAAATATGTCTTAGGATAGGTTGGGTCAGGGAGAAAATTAAACAATTTTGGATTCCCCCTTTAAGAAAAAAGGATTGAAACCAAAATCACCTTAGTTACACAAAACAGTTTCTACTTTGTAAAGATACTGGTCCCATTTTATTTTTAAATTACCTCTAGAGGTTAATACCCAGACACGAAAGAGGTGTATGAAAGCACAATAAAGCAAGAAGAGTTATAATTAAAATTCAGTTCAATGCTACATGAGAAATTTTGGCCCGGTATAATCAATCATGTTAACCTAATTTATAAAATGCATTCTGACAAATTTTTGAGAAGTTTCTCTTTTCATCAGTGTAACCAAAGCCCATCGGCATTCTTGCCCACACTGTCATCTGACACGGACTCTGAGCCATCCTTCCAGTAACAGCGAGGGAACTAGAAATTCCCTGCTAGATCAGTAGTCCTTAGCAGTTCCATAAGTGAGATCAAGCTGCCAACCGTCTGGCCCATGGGTATGGAACATTTTTGACAAGAGAAGGAAATGGGTATTAAAGAATAATTAAAATCAATTCTTGCACTATTTGCATGGAAGGAAGGGTTGGGTCTGATCCGTGAGGCATTTGAGGGAAGACACATGTCATCACATTTTCTGTGTAAGAGCCGAGAGCCTTTACCTAATGAGGGGAGATTTTTACTGCTTTCTGACTGGCTCATTTTATTCCATTAAATATCCTTGGAAAACCATGCTGGCGCCCTGCAGAGCGGGTGGTGGGCTCTGCAGATACGAGGCTGAGGGAGCATGTGTTAAGAAAAGTAGCCATGGAGGACACTGAAAACTCCGTGGATGCAAAATCCATTAAAACTTTAGAAACACAGATCATACATGGAATCAAATCAGTGGACTCCAGAATATTCTTGGACAATAGATACAAAATGGATTATCCTGAAATGGGTCTATGTACAGTAATTAATAATAAGAACTTCCATGAAAGCACTGGAATGGCAGCTCGATCTGGTACAGATGTAGATGCAGCAAACATCAGGGAAACATTTATGAACTTGAAAGATGAAGTGAGAAATAAAAATGATCTTACATGTGAAGAAATTATGGAATTGATGTGTAATGTTTCTAAAGAAGATCATAGCAAAAGGAGCAGCTTTATTTGTGTCATTCTAAGCCATGGTGAAGAAGGAAGATTAACAGAGCTCTTTGTAGGGTATCTTTGTAGAAGGCTAGCTGGAAAACCCAAACTTTTCATTATTCAGGCTTGTTGGGGCACAGAACTAGACTGTGGTATTGAGACAGATGGTAGTTTTGATGATGACGTGGCATGCCAGAAAATACCAGTGGAGACCGACTTTTTGTATGCATATTCCACAGCACCAGGGTACTATTCCTGGAGAAATTCAAGGGATGGGTCCTGGTTCATTCAGTCACTTTGTGCTATGCTGAAATTGTATGCACACAAGCTTGAATTTATGCACATTCTTACTCATGTTAACTGGAAGGTAACAACAGAATTTGAGTCCTTTTCCTATGATGCTACTTTTCATGCAAAGAAACAAATTCCATGTATTTTGTTCATGCTCACAAAAGAACTGTATTTTTATCACTAAAAAGTGGTTGACTTTTTTTAAGTTTTTATGTCAAGTGAGAAAACTATAAATGGTACTGTATTTCCTTCTCTAATTGAATACTTAAGAACCGTACCATTTCCTAGCAAAAGAACCACAATGAAGCTACCTACCTCAAGCTCGAATCAGGTAGCTGAAATTGAATTTAATTAGGAATAAATAAATATGGATACTGGTATAATAATTATGAAAAGAAAGTATTGTAATTTTACATCTTTCATAATTAGAAACAGTTTGTGATGTATGAATTTTCAAATAATTATGAAGAAGTTAAACATTGCAGTAGTGAATTTTAAGGACATACTCCTACACACTTAGTTTTTGCCAGACTATGAAAATGATGATGTGTACTAATGTATTTTAGACCTTAAAGGTCCAGGGTCATGGTCAAAGGTTTGAACATTTATTTTAGATCTTATGTATGAGGGGCTGGGGATTTAGCTCAGTGGCACAGCACCTGCCTGGCAAGCGTAAGGTTGGGAGTTCAATTCCCGGTACCGGAAAAAAAAAAAAAAAAAAAAAGACATGTATGGAAAGAAAACCACATTTTTAAGTCACTTATTATAGCTTATGACTTTTATGATGCTTGTTCTGAGCATGTGTTTCTTGAAAAAAATTCATGTCTGCTATTGACAAGGAAAGAATATATTTAAGAGAAAATATGAGTCAATTGAGCTGATGCTTTTAAGGCTAACATGCAATGTTGATGAACAGACAGAGTAGTAACTATAAGGTGCTAAGATCTATCAGCATGTTTCTTCTCATTTGTTCTTATACAAATCAAATGAAATTTGCACCTCAGCAAAATATCTGAAGATTTATTATGTAAAAACTTCAAATTATTACTAGGATGAAGAAATTCTAAAGAGACATACTAAAATACTGTCTGTACAAGAAACAGTGGAATATAAGGAGAGAACAATAAATGGGTACATTGGGCAATCTGTAATTTGAGAGGAGATGGTTTGAGCCTCAGCAGAGATGTGGCTCTGTCCAAACAACGCAGAGCTACAGATGCCACTTTAGAAAACTCCTGCCAGATGATTTCTTCAGGAGCACACAGTGTGTGTGGAAGATACTCCCAAGGCATATGAGAAAGTGAACCAAGTGAGAAATCCCTAAAATGGAGCTTTTCTAAAGAGCCACACAAATTGTAGTATTCTTTGCAGCATAATTGGTAGGCGTCCTATATTGTGTTGAAGTTTACAATCAGAGGAATAATAGGTAAAATAAAGGACCACAGCACATAAGGCTTTAAAGCATCCAGTCAGAGCCCCTCTTGTGCCGGTGGGGAAACTGCAGGCCGGAGCTCAGTCCCACCCAGGGAGGCCAGGCTCCAAGCTTCCTGTGAACAGCCATGGCTGACTGCACCTGTGTGCTTCACAAGCTCAGTCTAACATTTCCTGTGAACTTCCTTTTGACTCAAAGAAAGGAATTGACATTTATAATTGACAACTATTTGTTTTGATAAGATCTATTAACTTTTCCTAAGTAAATGTAATGATATCTTAAGATGGGTTTTTGTGTGACAATTTCATAAGTTTTTTAATTTGCATTTTTATTTCCAAACATAAATTCAGATTTAAATTTTAAAAAAATAAAATAAATATTCCCATTGGAGTTTCATGCGCTAGTCTTCTCTTATTGACAATAATTTACTAGAATGCATTGCAGGGTCTGGTTTCTTGAAATGTAACTAATATTACAAACAACTGAAAAGTGTGGCTAATGAAATGCATTGTAAAACTGTATGGTAGCATAGTATTACTTTGGTTCTCATGTTCACAGTTAGTGGCACTTAAGCACTATCTGCATACTCATTTGTGCAGATAATAGACAGTGGCATCTCTCAAAATTATGACCGCTCTTCCTCTGCATTTGAAGTTTGAGTGAGCCATCCTTCTAACATTGTTTTAAATTTTATTTTATTTAATTTTATTTATTTATTTTTTTTGGTTTTTGGTTTTTCTCCGGTACCGGGAACCGAACTCACGACCTTGCACTTGCCAGGCAGGCGCTTTTGCCGCTGAGCTAAATCCCCAGCCCCTGTGTTAAATTTTAAATGACTTGAGAACAGATGCAGACTCTTCTGATCCCAACAACCATCAGGATTGTGTTGAAACCCGTACCTGATCATTACAGTGATGACTAATATCTGTTCTAAGACTCAAGTGATGAAAATAGTTTTCCTCTCTGTGCATTTTTGAGATGGCTGCTTGCTGTAGGAAGGGATTATATCATAGGATATTTTAAAGTTTCCTCCAGGCTCTTTTGGAAAAAGATGCCACCATCCCTTTGAGTGTCTGATGTAGACATGTGGAGGACAGTGATGCTAGAATGCTGCTTTGCCACCTGGGCCCTATGGCGTTCTACTGCTCTTCTCCTAGTTTTAATTCCATTTGCAGGATATTTTAGGTTCTGTTATTGTCTATCTTTGATTCGTGCATCTGCTCTAAGGATTAAAAACAAAAGTGCATTGAGTCTTGGTGTATTTGTATAGATGTGTTTCTAAAAGGGTGTCTGGGGCACAAATCAATAGATTTTATTTTATTTCTTCTGAGTTGACTATAATTTTGGCAGTTACACCCTCACTGAAAAATTGACATCCTATATAGAAGGACAAATCACACCTAAGAATTATAAAATTCATTTTTTTCTCTTTTGTTGATTAAGAAACATTGTTCAGTGTGTTTTGACAGCAATGCCCTTATCATTTTCTGGCAAGGAAAACTTAATTAAATGCAAATATTCTAGGTAGTGAGATGGTCACTGGCTTTTGCAGAAAGCCAAAGACGAATGATCAAATGGGACTGAGTTTTTCCCCTATTGTGGCTCTCTGCTATTACGGGTTCCCCAGTCAGTGGAAATAGACTGCTAACTCTTTCTGTCACACATACCATTGCGTTTATTCTGTATAGTATCTTGTAAGCCAAATGATTTTGCTGGGAAAGTTACAGATGTTCTTTGCAATAACTCTTAATACTCTAAGGATTTGGATTAAGACTATTTCTCTTCATGTTGGTGATGGAAACCGAAGTTTTCCTTCATGTAAAACCTTATTTTGGATCAGTTTGATAGAAGGACACAGGAACTACCTTTTCTAACTTGTATTTCCTAGAAACCAGGTACGAGTTTTTTTGATCTCCATCAGGTGTTCTATTCACTGTTCCGCGGCTCCTCCCGCTTGTAAGCATTCACACAAGAGGAATTGTCCTTTATGTTGCAGCAACAGAGGTTTTGGGTGATGGAAGATGCGCAGTTCGTTCCTTCAGGTGATCTTTCTTTCTTCTTCTTAACATCTTCAGATAAGCCTGAAACCTTCCTTGTTTTTTCTATTCTTGGTGTAGGCAAGGAAGAATGCTATGTAGGAATCACAGGTATTGTATAACTGAGAATAAGAGGAGTTTTTCTTTTAACTTGCTTTTTTCCTTTGGTGCACCAGTACTAGGTTGTGACATATTGGAAAATAAAAACCAATGCCCTTTGGTTTAATTTAGCACATGCTATAACTTCTGGTGGTCCCTTATAACCAGCATTTATGCTTTTGCAGAATTACAACCAGTCAAAACAGGAACTGATGCCTACCACTGATATATTCTGCAGATCCGCTCAAGTACAAATCAGCACTTGGTATCCATTCTGGTTGGTCAGATTCAAATCAGATTTGTTGGTGCCTGAGCCATGGCAGCTACTAAATATTGTAGCATTTTCATAGCAATGAAATTTTAGTAGAAATAGAGTCTAACGGATTATCCCAAGTTGGCAAATTAAGTCAACTAAATCTGGAGACTAAGAGGATATTTTTGCCAAGCCATTGGGACAGATATCTAAGCCAGGTGGCTCCACTACACGAGAACTTTTGTAGTCATGGAACTAATGGTATTTGTGACTCAGAATTCTTGGTACTCCAACTGTCATTATGTTGAACTTCTTTGCAGTCTCTTTACTGGGGTCTCAAGTGTTTCCTGTCTGTAGAGAGTTGCACATACTCTAATGGACCTCCTCTACCCGTCTCCGTCATTTGTGCTGATCTCCTGAACATAAAAGACCACCATGTACTTATGACTGTTATAAAAAGTCTTATCCAGTCACAAATTTAATGTTGAAAAACTGAAGCAACCATGTAAGAGTATCCTTCCCCAGCATGCACATCACTTCTTCCTTCCGGGACTGCATCCAGAAATAAGGAATCACAACAGCAAAGACAGGAATAAAATGTATTGTGAGACAGCAAGCGTGCCCTAAGGTAGGTAGGAAAAGGTTTTAGGAGATATTTGGGGAGCTTCAGTGCATTAAAAGAAAAGAATAGTTCATGACTCGTTAAGGAAGAACCAACTGTGTGTTTGAAACTAGATCTGTAGCAAATGTATTGCTTCTGTTTTGTGTTTCAAAGGTGTGCATTTTAAGCAATGTACCTGCTACAGAACAGAATGAAACACAGAGAGCTCTAAATATAACTATGCAAAAATATATTTCCCTTCTTGTCAAGAACTTTTATAAGATTTTCTTTTACAAACAAAAATACAGTTCAGATTTAAATGACAGGAAATAATCTTCATATATAAATTAAGACAGTGACTATTACCTTAAAATAAATCTACCAAAATTTAAATTCCCTCCCTTTTAAATATTTTTCTTTCCACTGACTTATTTGTTTGAGTCCCCAGTTACTTCACACTCATCTGTCTGCACCTGATCCCCATTTTAGCATTCTCCCAAGTTTGGAGTCCTCCTGATTTGCCCACTTCCGTGCAGGTGAGCTGCAGAAATCCAAAAGTCCTCTTTGGCATCATTCTTTGTCTTGTCTCAAATGTTAAATTCATATTTGTTTTCCTAAAATGTTAAATTCGTCTAGTCACTTGTTTGTTAAAAGCATCTACCTCTCCCTCTTGCATAAAGGATACATGTCAAATTTCTTACTTTTGCATGTACAAGAGTATGAGCAGATGAAAGTAAGTATTTTAGTTTCATGAGCTTGCTTGCTGCTAACTAATATTTCATTTTCAAATGACATCCTGACCAAGAATGTAGAAAAGAGCAATAAACAAGAGAGAAAACCCCTAAATTTATTCCGTAAATGTAGTTAGCGGTAGCTTTATAGTTCTTAGTATATTCAAATATACTGTGCTATCAGATTCAATTTAATTTAATATCC